GGTAAGCAATATTAAGATAAATTTAACTTTGGATTTCAGATATGAACACCCGTATAACACATTTGTTTAATTATTGATATAGTAGCTCAATTTTGCCTGTGAAAGGCTGTTATTGATTTGGACAGAAATGTCAGTCCTCTTTTGTTTCTGGTACTTTTTGCCAGAAAAAATGCCGCAATCATTAAGAATTTGGTGGGAGAAAATGCTGCCCATAGCCATTCCCTAGCCAACCCCACTTTCACACAGAAAGATCCTTTTTGATTGCACAACAATGTTAATATCACATTTGTCTTTGATTACTGACATATATTTATCAAAGCCTAGTTATGAAACTATTTATGCAAAGACTATACAGTATGTGGGCAAATATCTTGTGTATTTTTGTAAGCTTAAAAGGACTTCCTGCTGTTATTTAAGTTAGTTACATACTGCTTTTATTCTCAAGCATTGTAATGAAGAGTGCAAACTTTTTTACATTCGTATCATCATAGTGAATTCTTAGGAAAAAAATAAATCTCAGTTACATGAGTAATTCAAATATCAGTCATCCAGGAATGGGGGTGTAGGTAGTAACTTCTCTTATGATACTACAGAAATAAAATGTGAGTATTTCTGAAATACTTCTGATGGGTACTGATGGTTCAGAAAATATTGGTAAATACAGCTTTGAGCTTCTCCTAGTGGTTTCAGAGAGCCTCCTGCTTAGATTAACTTTTTATTTTTGAATGGGATTGTGGGAAAAATAGTACATTAAGATAGGAAATATTTTAAACAAGATATTTCTCTATTGCATATTCTGTATAGTGTTTTAATATTAAATCATGGAACAAAATTATTATATGGAATTGCATTCTGTTGAGAGCAGAATTTGTTTCTTTGGCCTTCATACATACATACACAAAAATGTGAATCATTTGTAATGCCTCCAAACTATTATATGATTTTATTATTCTATGATATATCTCTATATATTGAGATGTGTGCTTAGTTCTGTTGTGTTGCAAATAAAGAAATGTGTAGACTTATGAGGAAAATTGAAATACAAACCTAAGGACAAGCAAGCTTTTATATAACATTTCAATGAATTTCCACTTTTGCACAATTTTATAAGTAGAAACCAAAACCTGCTGGCTAACAGAAAAGAGCAAATAAGTTTGAAGTATGTGGTGGGGTGGGTTTTTTTTGGTGGGAGGGGAGAATAGTTTTTGTTTTGTTTTTCATATGAAGAAACCAATTAATCTTCTGCAAAAAATAAAAAAATCTAGAGGCCGTTTAGATTTTTTTTCAGAGTTGTTTGAAGTTTGAATTTTCTCCTCCACTGCGTTTTAATCTCATTTCTAATCCCTTGGACCCCTTGATCAGTTTTAATGGCTTGCATTTGTTGCAAACACCTTGATATATATTTTTTTAAATTTCTGATAAAAAGCCTGAGACATCTGAGACATGAAAATGTGAATAGATATTATGAAATCTCAGTGAGTTCTTTGAGACTTTGGACACTAGTTCTCATTTTAACAGAGGGATAAACTCTCCAGAAAGAGCCATGTAATAACAGTACAATTACCTTTGATTTCTTTCTTCTTTTAAATGCTATTAGTGTTCATGTGTTTTTCTGTCATGGCCTCTTAGTAGCCATGATTAGTTTGCAGTAGAATTTTTCTCAGCTTAACTCAGTTCTGATGTGTGAGAAGCGAAGTGACAGATGATGTGATGTGGGAAGGGAAGCTTGCCCAGCTTGCTGAGGTCATATGACAGATGCATTTTGAGTACAGCCATAGGAGGGGATGGCGGAGGCGCTGTCCTACTGCAGTAGGGTCTGTCTGGGAACCTTCTCTATATAAGAAAGATAGTTCTCTCTAGAGTTTGTATATGTATGTCTTGCCTTAGGGGCATCTCCTACCAACAGCCTATGTTTATGATTAATTTGCAGGACTACCACTTGGAATTCCATCTATGCTCTAACCATAAATTATGAAATGAAGTATTAAAAGTGCTGCTTCTGGTAGCTCAATCCTTAGTGATCTGATCAGTCCATTTAAAAAAGTCTGTTCATTACAAGTGTGTGTTCTGAAATTGATGGTGAGTGTAGCAGCCTCTGAGTGGTTGGTAGCTGGTTGAAATAGTTGTATATTTTTACAAAAATACCAATTACACTATATGGGACTAGAAGATGAGAGCAGGAACATTTTATGTTCCTGTGCACTGGTTGTCTTAAAAGTGTGACTTGTACAACCTGAAGCACGCCCCCCTCCTTTTTTTCCCCCACCTTCTCATCAGTTTGTGTTTGATATGAATGATATCTTCTGTCTAGCTTTTGCTGACTAGCTCCTGGCTTCAACACAAGGCCAACTGCAGTGCCAGGAAACGTTTGTAGGTTTTCAGTTCAGTAATAGCTGAGTAGCATAATTATTTTAGGAGATTAACCTTCATACTGAAGCAGATGGAGTTGATCCAGTCTACATGTCAACTGTAGAAGACCAGCCAGACACACACGATAGCCACAGCAGACTACTACAGTCTCTTGACAGCTGGCTTCTACTGATGGACTTGCCTGATGGGGAGTTAAGACATGCTTCTGTCCTAACATCCCTTCAGACGTGACTCTGGGACTTAAAAGTACAGGAAAAAAATGGCTTCTTTTCAGGAGTTACTTTTGTGCTCATTTCTTCTTTCTTTCTGAAACACCTCTTATTACTTCTCTATTTTATCTGACTTCTGGTTGTATTGTTCCTAACCAGTTTTTTGGGTTTTGAGGCTCATTTCTTCGGTCTTTTTGTTGAATATGGGGTATTACAGTGAAGCTATTGTCTACTGTAGATATTCCTGGCATTCAAATCAGCTTTGCAGGTTTGAATTGCACATGTATGGAGAGAAACAAGTGGTGCTTTGGCCAGCGAATGTTATTTTTATTAGGAAGTTGATTTCCCTGATTGAGACACTGTTAGCAGAGTGTGTTTTCCAGCAAATAAAAGATGGGAGACTGAGGCAAAACCGAGCTTTAGATCCCGCTCATGAGGAATGCACTTGTTCAGTGACGTATGGTGTTGATACTCCCTGCTGATTGTGCTGTGGCATATAGTTTTACATGTATTTATCTGTTAATTCTGACCT